AAATATATAAATCTAAATCTAAAACTAAAACTAACTGCATTAACATAGGTATATAAATATAAATATATAAATCTAAATCTAAATCTAAAACTAACTGCATTAACATATGTATATAAACATAAATATATAAATCTAAATCTAAAACTAACTGCATTTACATATGTGTATAAATATAAATATATAAATCTAAATCTAAATCTAAATCTAAGTACATAGGATGGAGTGTGTATATGGATGAAGATGGTCCGTTTATATTATAACTATAAATAGGCAAGCACTCCTAGGTACTGATGAAAATGTTTGGTCAGTGGTTTCTTTAACAAAACCTCAGCTAAATATATCAGCGTCAGATGCAGAAAATTTAACTACAATCAGAAATTATTCTTTAGTATCTATTAAACAACAAAACTGTAAGTGTTAATTATATTTGTTCATCATCATCAAACTAATTTAATTGGCAGGCGTGGATTCGTCTTAGTCGAAACTTGAGAACTTATCAACATTGAAAATATCACGAGAACATATACAATCAGTTCAATTGGATGCAATAAATACTTTACGATCACATCATCCAGTTTCATTGATATGCTCACGACAGATGATGAAATTAAATTGGTATCTAATAGATTCACCTGGTATTGGACTTGTGAATAATAGCAAACAAGATAAAAATCTATGTTTATCAATGCAATCATTCAATGTCTTGCATATACACCTGGTCTAGCTCAATGGTTATTAACTGAACATGATAAACGAACCACGTGTACCATCAAAAATAGAATTAATCGATAAAATACCAAAACTTAAACGAGTAGTACTATCGCTGGATCTCTGAATGAAAATAAGACATGATGAAGAGATGCTTTTTGTAAATTAGTTTATGTGAAATTCATTCATATTTTTCGTATATAAGCGTGTTTTATGGTTATAGACAATATATATACACTTTACATTATGTATTTTATTATTTATAGGTGAAATTTCATCGGCAAATCATTTTTGTTCTATGTGTGAAGTAGCTGGTATTATTAATTCAATTCACCAAGCACGTCATGGGTTATCAACCGATTTCCAACAATTATCTACAGCTTCGGCATATACTTTATCTCGGAACATCAATGAATTATCTCAAACGTTTACTCCTGGTCGACAAGAAGATAGTGATGAGTTTTTATTAGAGCAGTGTGAGAGAGAGAAGAAAAGAGAGACGTGTGTTCGTTTTTCAAATGTTTATTTAAAATGTAAATATGAAAACACACACACCACACACACGACACGACACGACTAGCTAGAGAGAAGAAAAAAGACGTGTGTATATATACGTATTGATCACAAAGACCGAATACGATATATCACACGAATAAAGAAAAGAAGAGGGGAGATATCAAAGAACAAAGAAGATATCGAAGAAGATATCTGATCGAGGGATCACAATGAATATGGTGTGACTGTAACAGTCGACCCATGTAGAAAAAAGAAAGATGTGTGTCCGCACACATATCTGACATAACACAGGGAGAAAAAGTTTAACAAAAAAATAGAAAAATGAACGGGAGAAAGAGAAAAATGTATATATGTGTATATATATAAAACTATATATGAAGAGAAGGAGAAAAAGTTGAAAGACGGGTACACACACACACACGTTCAAAAAATGACAAGAAAAAAAGAAAAATATATACGTTTACCTAGTTGTTTCTTCTTTTCTTCTTGTGATGATAATAATGTTCTCTGGTGAACATTCTCTTGTGTAATAATTCTTCAAGTTCTTCAGCTGCTGTTGGACTTTTTACACCAATATATAATTCTCCATGTTTGGAGATCTTGACGTTCAGGAATTCTACATTGATTCCTCTTAATATTGTTTTGACGTCCCGATGGTTGAATCCATGATAAATTCGACGGACGACTTCTGATCGATAACGATTTGCTCGACGTCGTCGACTACTAATTTGATTTGGTGTTGCATGTTCATGTATATATAATTGTGGACCTAAATAATAAGAACGTGTTTTTATTCGTGAACCATTTACTTGATGAATTTGTTGTGTAGTTGTTGTTGCTTGTGTTGGTGGACGGAGTTGTACAACTTCAGGTAGTTCATCTTCACTAATTGGTTCAATATCATATGATGTTGCACGTTGATTTTCACCAGATTCATGTTCACGATCAAATATACCTATATCAAAATCAGATGGTGTTAATTCAAGTTCAATACTTATCTGTTCTTGTTGATTATTATTTAATTCAACTTGTTCATGAGCTTCAGGCTCATCTTTTTGTTCTTGTTGATGTTCAGCTGTTGTTGGTGGTGTTGTTAAAATTTTAATTAAATTTATATCAGTTGCAATTTTTGTCACGGCGAAGACGTCGTTTATTGCATATTCTTTTAACATTGTACGATATTTCTTTTCTTCTTCTATTTGATATTCTCGTTGTTCACCATATACATGTCTTGATGGCATATATGTACCTAAACAAAAATCAAGACCACATGACCAGTCGGCTATAGTTGATAGCTTATCCAAATATTGTTTATATTCATGTTGGATGACTGATTGTAAACCACATTGACCAGTTGAATCATATTTTTCTTGTACATTTATTCCTTTGATTTGAATTTGTTGGACGAATAAATCTAAATTCAAAAATGATTCTAGTTCATTAACTGGATTACCCCAAGAATAAATGTTGTTGTTTGAGCAGAAGATAATGGAACATAAATGTTGAATTTTCATATATAAAGGAGAATTTGGTGGTGGTAAATGTTGAACTTCGATGATGATTACGATTGATGGTGCATTTAATCTAATGAATTCAACTTGAATTGTTGCAGGAACATGTTTGATTGGATCTCCTTCTGTATCTAATGAATAATGGTATGTTTGTTTAGCTTCATCGATCAGATAATCCAGTGTAAAAATATCAGCTTCTTTATGAATGAAATAACATGAATAATTGTGTGGTTGTTGGAATGGTGTTAATAAACCACGTTCACAATCTTCTTTTAATTGAAATTCTTTTTTTAATTTTGCTGGTTTCCATTTTCCATATCGTTCTATTAAACGTTGATATGGTGTCTTGTAATTACATGAACTATATTTGTTCATCTTAGTTGTATTTACTAAACGAGAAAAGAAGATATATTTAATAATATGAAAACCTTTTTTTTTTTTGTTTTTTTTGTTTTGCTTGTTGATTTCGGTTTTGTTCGTGTATGTTCGATCAGATGATTAGCTAGGATATCTAAAGTGATATAAAATATGAATATCATCAGGATTTCACCACGAATCCTCTTTCCCAAAAAAAATATTAAATAAAATATTCGTTTCTAAGAAATGGGTATTTCTTGTACTTCGCTATCTATACATAAACCATTTTGTTTATCTTCGATGGATATAAATGTGAATTAAATGTCCGATAGTAATATATGGAAAATAAAAGAAACGTGTATTAAAATGAACTTAAGTGTGGAGGAAAGATAAAAGAAGTTAGTCTATGAAGTATATAATGGAGTATAGGTATACGAAGAAAAAAAGAATTTGTATATATATGTAGAGTGGAAGGAAAGAAAAAGATTTGATGCGGCTTATGAGCATGTGTATTATACATACGTATAATCGATATATCTATATATATATATCGATTTATTAATCCAAGTATATATTTTTTTTTTATTCGATATTTTTCCGTTCAAACAAGGATATAACGACATCTGTTGTCACTTGTCTGATTAGTGTTGGCTTCTTGACATGTTGAACGATAAATGTTTTTATACCTAATTGTTGTATGATACGAAACGGTCCTTCATATCGGATATCGAATTTGTTTCTACGATGAAGTGTCTTAATAAGCACTAAATCATTAATTTTATGTGTAGGGTTGGATCGATATCGATCGTATCGTTGTTTATATTTTTGTTGTTGTTTTAAAATATTAATTTTTGCTTGTTCGGTTAATTGTAATAGATGTTGTTTTAATTTATCGATGTGTTGTGTATCTTGAGCGAGTGAAATGACGGGTTCTTGTTGATCGAAGGGTAATATCGGTGAACGACCGTACATCATTTCGAATGGAATATGTCCGGTTGTTGTGTGGATACTGGTGTTGTAATTGAATGTAACGAATGGTAATTGTTCATCCCAATTTGTCCGATTTTCATTTGATAAAGCAGCTATTTTTGAATCCATTGTTGCGTTGTATCGTTCAATTTGTCCATTTGTCATTGGATGATAAGGTGTTGAATATAGATGAGTAACGCCGATCTTTTTGAATAATTCTGCCATCATTGAAGCGGTAAAGTGTGTGCCATTGTCAGTAAGAATGCACTTTGGTGTTCCATATTTCAAGATGACTTCTTCTGTAACAAATCGTGCTGCTGTTGATGCTGTGCAGTCACGTACTGCTTTTGTAATAACGAATTTTGATAAAACATCAGTAAGTGAAATAATATATTTATTTCCACTTCTTGTTGCTGGTGTAATAGGTCCATGAAAATCCATTGTTAGTAATTGCCATATTCCTTCTGGTGGTTTAATGGGTTTCAATGCACCTGGAGGTTTTCGTCGTATATGATTATTTTGTAAACATGGAATGCATGTTTTAATATGGTTCCGTATGTCGGTAATCATGTTGGGCCAAAAGTATCGTTGTTGAATTTTGTGGATCGTTCGATCCCGACCAAAATGTGCACCATTTGCTGGTGTATCATGATAAACTTTAATGATATCTGATCGAAAACGTCCTTTTGGTATGAATGGTACTGGTGGAGTTGAATTCTTCATTAACATATCATCTTGTATGACATATGCATCAGATGTATTAATGTTCATCATAATTTGTTTTGTTTCTTCGTCTTGCTGTTGTAATTCTCTTATTTGTTCGTAAGTGAATGGTATGATTTTGTTGTCAATCTCCATCATCTGGTGGTGTTCGATGTTTGCTTCGACACAGGAACTGTTATCCGTAGATTTATCGTTCCTCTTAGCTTGTCCGTCATAGGATTGATCACTCATGTGATCATCATTCCGTTCACTCTGCTGTCGTTTAGTTTGTGCTCGGGTGGTGACAGATGTTACGACCGACACGATCATTGAATCATCAGTTTGTGTTGTTCGTGTTTTGGTTTGTACGTAATCATCTTCGTCATCAGCTTCTTTGTCAAGAGGTGCACGTGATAAATAATCCGCTACTGTGTTGTGTTTCCCCTTGATATATCGAATTGTAAATGTATAATGTTGTAATTTTAATCGCCATCGTTCACATTTGGAATTGAGTTGTTGTTTCAGGTTCAATGGTAGCAGAGGTTTATGATCAGTTTCTATTGTAAATTGTCGTCCATCGAGATATTTATGCCATTTTTCAATGGCGTATATAATTGCGTAACATTCTTGTTCAGTAGCAGGCCAATTCATTTGTGTCGTTGTAAGTTTCTTGGATAAATATGCGACTGGTAAATCTCCATTAGCATGGGTTTGCATAAGAACTGCTCCTATTCCGATTTTTGATGCATCCGTTTGAATTTTGAACGGTAGATTATCATTAGGAATTCGTAGTACCAAGTCGTTTGTTAGTATTCGTTTCAGTTCATCAAATGCATTAAGTTCTTCATCAGCTAATTGAATAGGTGTTGATTGTGATTTATGGGAGCGTTGTTCTTTCGTAGTTGGTGCATATTTGTATAGTGGTTGTGCAATAATAGAAAATCTTGGTATGAACTTGCGATAATATTCTGCTGCTTTAACGAATCTGAAGGCTTCTTTTGCAGTGGTGGGTCGTTGTGTTTCTAATAATGCGCGGATGTTGTCAGCGTTTGGTTTGATGTTGCCATGTTCGATGCGATGTCCCAAATAATCGATTGCTGTTTGTGTTATGTGACATTTTCCTACGTTGAGACGAAAGTTTGCTTCATTTAATCGGTTCAGAATATCGTCGATATGAATTAAGTGTTGATCGAAGGTTTGCGAATATATGATAACATCGTCTAAATATGCTAATGAATAGTTCCATCTTGTGGGTCCCAATATTCGACTAACGATGCGCTGGAACGCTGGAGGACCATTCGTAACACCTTGTGGTAATACTGTAAATTGATAATGTTGATCTCTGGTTGAAAATGCTGTTTTCGGTCGATCTTTTTCAGCTAATCCAACTTGAAAATAACCCGATTTGAAGTCGATCGTTGTATAATAACCAGCTTGTGATAAATGGTCGAAGATATCATCGATTCGAGGTATGGGGAATGCATCTCTTGTAGTAATGGTATTTAATTTCCTGTAATCAATACAGAATCTGACTGATCCATCTTTCTTCCGTACGAGGACGATTGGTGAGGACCATGGAGATGTTGATTCTTCGATAATTCCTTGTTTTAATAGTTTGTCTATTTCATCACGTTGTATTTGTTCATCTTTGTATGAAACACGATATGGTGGAGTGTAAACAGGTGAATGGTTGCCAGTTTCAAGTGCATGTTGAATCGTTGCTTTGATGGTAGACGGTCGTCGTAAATCGAATAATTTTCCATATTTCCATAGAATTCGTTGTACTTGTTGTCGTTGATTATCGTTCATAATATGTGTTGTTAAATTATCGATTTGTTCTCGTATATCTTGTGGATAGCATTTTGCTCGTAAATGTTCTAATAAATCATTGCGAGATAAGAAAAGTTCTTGACAAACATAACATTGATGTTCGTTTTCCTGTTTTTCTTCCCAGGAAATGTCTGCGAACCTGACTTTCCTCTTTTGGCTGGTTGATGGGAAACAGGAACTCTTCTGTTGATGGTTCCTCTTTGTGCTGATTGTTTTTGGATAATTTTGATCAACTGATTGAGAATCTGGCAGAACTGATACGATGGCGTAGTTGAGTGGTGGATCTTGAAAGGTGATGTGGCCTAGTTTCGTGTTTCTGGATAGTGTTCGTGGACGGTCATTTGCATTAATGATGGTAAGTGTACTTGTGTCGTTTTCCACTGCAAGTAATGCATGTGTAATAAGTATTTGCTTTGTATAGAAGGTTGGTATCGGTTCAAATAATGCTTCTGTTGTTTGGTTGGAGTTAGATCGAGTTTTTACGTTGACGTATGTTTCAGAATAAGGTGGAAGGGTTATGTCGTTGATTGTAAATATTGGTAATTGAGTGTCGGGTTGTTCAATAAATGTCGTTGTTGCTGCTATTCGATTATATCGGTCATTAAGGATAATACGTTGCTGTGGACAGTCGATGATAATGTTGTTTGCTTGAATCCAGTCGTTTCCTAATAATAAATCAGTTACAAGGTTTGTTGCAACATCAGCTATAGTTAATGTTCTGTATCCTCGTATTGTGATTTCAAGTTCGATTTCACCAATGATGTTGACAGGTGAACAGTTAGCTGATTTGTGTACTTTTGGTTTGTGGATGAATTTTTTATGATAAATATTCTTAAGTAATCGTTGGTTTATGATGGTGACGGCAGATCCTGTATCGACAATAGCGTGTTGTGGTCTGTTGTTGACTCGTACGTTGATGTAGATGGGAGTTGGTGGTCGTTGGGGTATGCTGTTGGTGGTAGATGGATTTAGTTGGGTTTTGCTGGAATCACCACCATCACGGGTTCCAGTTAGTAGAAAACCGTCGGACAATCACGGAGTCGGTGGTCGGATTGTCCACATTTGTAGCAGCCAGATGGTTGTTTGTAATGGCAGTCGATGGAGCGATGGTTGGTGCGGTTGCATATTAGACAAGGTTTTAATCGAGTTGTAAATGTGTTCTTCGATGTTGTTGATTTTCCATATCCAGGTTGTATTGTACGATCGTATCGACGAGGTGTTGGAGGTCGATGTTTGGATGCAGACCATGATTCTGGTGGTGTGGTATGATGACTTGCTTGTGGTGGATAATATGATGTATCGAATTCATTCCGGTGATCCATTGATTGCCATGGTCGGTTCGGTGAAATACTTCGTGCTGAATATTGTGTATCTCGAACTGTTCCTGTTGTTTGTGGTTTCGTTGTTGATACTGCATTTGTGAAATATGGCATATATGAAGGTGTTGGATCAGGAACTGATATATGTTCCTCTTGTAATTCTTCTTCATCTTTGGCAATCTTCAAGAAAGCTTTTGTAGTTCGTGCTGATTCAATTAATAATTTCATCTGACGCTTGATTGAAATTTTCAAAGAGTCCTTTACACCATTTTCCAACCAGGATATAATCATCTTATCTGACATGATTGGATCGTAATCATGACATAATTTAATGATATCATCATAGAATGTTGTAATTGATTCTTCAGGTTTCTGTTTACGTTCTTTTAGTTGTTCGAATATTTTTGTTGATGAATCAGTTGTTGTAAATCTTTCCAGTAATGCTGGTTTTAAATCCCCCCACGTGGTTAATGTAATATTGTTTTCGTACCATCGTTTTGCTTCACCATCCAGTTTAGCTGTACACATGCAATATAAGATAGTATCATTTGCGTTGATCATCCGTCCAATTCGTTCGATATTGTGGATAAAGTTTAATATTTTCGGTTCATCTTTGCCTTTAAATTTCACTAAATTAGATAAAGATTCACGATAACATACCATCATAACTGGATCTGGTGTACTGGTAGATGTAGATGTAGATGTAGATGGAGATGTGGATGGAGATGTCGATACCTCGTTTTCATTATCCGTATTAGTCATATTGGCTGCTTGAGATTGTAATACCAATTTCTTAAATATACGATCAGATGTATTGGTCAGTATGTCGCCGGTGTATTCCGGTGTTTGATTTGTACTGCGTAGATTATACAGTGTTATGGTAAGATTTTTATTATCGACGATAATAAAAATAACCGGTCACGGCACCAAATATTAGAGCAGTGTGAGAGAGAGAAGAAAAGAGAGACGTGTGTTCGTTTTTCAAATGTTTATTTAAAATGTAAATATGAAAACACACACACCACACACACGACACGACACGACTAGCTAGAGAGAAGAAAAAAGACGTGTGTATATATACGTATTGATCACAAAGACCGAATACGATATATCACACGAATAAAGAAAAGAAGAGGGGAGATATCAAAGAACAAAGAAGATATCGAAGAAGATATCTGATCGAGGGATCACAATGAATATGGTGTGACTGTAACAGTTTTTAAATTGTTTACTAAATCACATGGTTAAATGTTTAATGTCG